CCCCCCCCCCCCCCATATCCTCGGGTTGGGGGGGAAAAGGCTTCCCAAGCTTCAAAGTTTCTTTCAGCGCCCATGTCCCCCTCTTCCCTTAGACCCCCCGAAGCCCCCCCCCGGATGCCTCCCCTCGTTTTCCTCCCCCCCCCCCCCCCTCCCTCCGTTTCCTCCCCCCCCTCCCCCTCCCTCCGTTTCCTCCCCCCATCCCCTCCCTCCGTTTCCTCCCCCCCTCTCCTCCCGTTCATGCCCGCTCCTCCCGCTCTCACCTGATGTCAACATAGCCAGGATGATCTAGTCGTCCAACAGAGCAGAGAGCAAGTTAGACGTCAGCTAGGAAGAGACGAACAGCACGGAGGAGATGGCGAGGGAGACGATAGGAAGACAGAGAAGAGATAGGGATGAGGGAAGGAAGAGGGGGAGTTGCGAGGGGATCCAGGTTCATGGCAGGTGGAGGGCACTTACCGTCCCTCCTTGCTCGTATGAGTCCTGTAAAAACCCGAAGATGCCCTCGTACAGCGGCGTTGCCTGACGGAAGAAGATGACGGAAGAAGATGACGGGAGGAGATGACGAGAGGAGATAACGAGAGAGATGACGGGAGATGGGGGGGGGGGGAAGGGGGAGAGGTGCTACCTCATAGGAAAAATGGCAGGAGGCCCATCGGTGGTCTTTGCCGCACTTCTGGATGAGATTGCAGATCTGTGGAGCGGTCATGAAGCCGTTCACCTCCTCCCTCCCTCACCGTGTTCTCAAGCATATGGCACCCCACAGGCCCCAGTTGATCTGAGAACTCCGACGTCAAGGGAGCGAGACTCCTGTCCTGTCCTGTCCTGTCCTGTCCTGTCCTGTCCTGTCCTGTCCTGTCCTGTCCTGTCCTGTCCTGTCCTGTCCTGTCCTGTTTTGTGTTCATTCTCTCCAACGTTACCTGTGTCGCAAGTGATCGTCTGTACGAGACCTCCATGAGAGTCGAAAATTCGCCCTGGACGACGCAAATGAGCAGAGTGGAAGGAGGACAGGAGAGGAGGAGGAGGAGAGAGGGAGAAAGGGAGGAAGAGAGGATGGAGAGAGGAGGATAGTAGAGCTTTCCTATCATGTCATTCTCAGCCAAGATGGTCACCTGACATTCACGTCATGAGAGTCTGGCATGTCAGTCGGTACCGTTCGGTTGTGCGCCGCCTGATGTAGCTGTCTGCGGTCCTTTGCGTTCCAGTAGAGATGCTTCGAGAGCGACTGCGATCATATTTCACCGATGAAGACGCGATGAAGCGACGGCGGCGAAGTAGAGAGCAGGAGCAGGAGCAGGAGCAGGAGCAGGAGCAGGAAGACAGGAAGGCAGGAATAACCTGGTATGCTCCAGGAGGAGTGAAGGACACAACAGGCTCGTTGAGTAAAGCTGCGATTACCATCATCATCATCTCGACCAGCAGTACATGACGTCACCAGCTGCTATATGAGCTATCCCCCCCCCTAACGAGTGACCTGAGAAACTGAAAGGTCAAGTTTGACCTCCAGACGGCGAGGCCGACCGGTCAAAACGAGCTGATGTGACTGCGGGAGGTCCGGGTAGACCACCTTCCGTATGTACTCAACCACTCGGTTGTACTGCAATGGCACCGTCATGCAATTAGAACCGAGGAGGAGGAAGAGGAGGAGGAGGAGGAAGAGGAGGAGGAGGAAGGGAATATTGATGAAAGAAGGACGAGGACGGAAGGAGTGGGGGGGTTGGAGAAGGAGAGAAAAGAAGGGACTGGGAAACAGAGGAGGAACGAGAGAGAACGGAAGAGAAGAGAGGAGATGAGTTGATGGGTTGATAAATTGTCTTACCTTATATTCCGGATCTGGAAGGCCCACAGAATCAAGCAGAGCATGCAGCGTGTCGAGAACCTGAGAGGAGAGAAGAATCAGAAACGATGAGAGGAAGGAAGAGGAAGAGAGAGGGGTGAAGGAAAAGGGAGAGGAGGAGGAAGAGGGGGAGGAAAGGGGAGAGGAGGAGGAAGAGGGGGAGGAAAGGGGAGAGGAGGAGGGAAAGAGGGGGGAGGGAAAAAGGGGAGGAGGAGGAGGGAAAGAGGGGGGAGGAAAAAGGGAGAGGACGGAGAAAAAAGGGAGAGGAGGGAGGGAGAGGGGGA